GCTAGGAGGATGGAGTACTGGCTGGCTTGGGCTTCACAGTGAGACCTGTCACAGCAGTAAGACTTTCCCTCTTTGGTCCTGTGTATTTTTTTTAACTGTAAAACTGTAAAGTTTTTATTTTTTATTTACAATTTAATAGATACTCCTTGATGACTGCTCTGGGTAGGCACCTTGGTAGTATTCAGAAAGATCACAGTGATGGTGTTTTCCTAATGGTACATACTTTTCAGTAGAAGTCACTATCAAACCAGCAAGACTGCATTTATGCACCCATCATTTTCAGGATTGTTGGTAACTTGGGCATACTTTCCCCAAATAACCTTGCCTCCTTGTGTCACAAGGCCCAGCTTGCTCACATTTGCTTCAATAACTGTACCTTTGGTGATTACACCCAGAGTTGTATATAATGGGGATGATGGATTCTTTTTCACATCAAGTATTGGCAAGCAAAAGGTAGCTTTCAGCTCAGGATGTGTGACATGAGCTTTTTTGAAACGCAGACCCATTGGCCTGATAAACCTTTCATATTTAGGTGGTTTTCTTGTAAAACCATCACCAACAAAGCAGACTTTAGTAACCATCCTCTTCCATGACTTCTTTTTTTTTTTTCTTTTTCCTGTTCGAATAACTTTCAATACTTCTGTTTCTCCTTGGGCACGAACTTTGGGTAGAGAGACTTCCCATTTTCCCGCCTTCTCTTTTCGTTTCTGCTTAATCACGTTGGAAAGCACTTTTGCTCTAGATTGCCCCTCTCTGTCCAGCAGTAGGCAGGCACTGATCCTTGTGGAGTCTTTTCATCATTCTTTTGCTTGGTGTTTCTCTTTTCATGCATCTTAATAGTCTTTTTCATTTGTATTTTCTCAGCATGGCGCTGTTCATGGCAGAGCTTAGCCTTCAGGTCAATCATTTTTTTTGCCTTCTTTGAATGTTCATGGGCCTCCCGACTTTCTTTCTTTTTCTTTTCCTCATGGTAATCCAAACGATATCCATAGCGTTTACGGTATAATTTAATATATTCATTTTGTGGCATGATGACAGCCCTGGAACAGCCGTCCGCGACCTCCCAACTACAGAAAAACCTCTTCTGGGTCTCACTGACCCACAAGCACCTGCCCTGCAAGGTGGAACAGGAAAAAGCGGTCTTGTGTATCTTCTAGTGAATTGAACCTTTTATTATTATAAAATATTCCTCAAAAATATTCCTCAGCATTCTGGTCATTTTATTTGACCTGGTCTAATTTATAATATTAATGAAACCATTCCTTTTTGTTTTTTCATTCTAGATTTTATTTTTATTACTATTTTACATGTATGGGTGTTTTGCCTGAATATATGTTTGTGTACCGTGTGCATAAAGTTCTCATGGAGGCTAGAGAGGGCATGAGATTCCTCAGAAACTGGAGTTACAGACAGTTGTGAGCTACCATGTGGGTGGTGGGACTTGAACCTGGGTCCTCTGAGAAACCAGCCAGTGCTCTTAACTACTAGGCTCAGATTTTTTTTAGGTTACTATTGTCTTGAATCTTTCCCACTGTATCTCTCATAGCTATATAGTTTCTGGGGCTATAAGATAGAGTGATGTTCATCCTCTAGATGTTTCTCTGAGGATACATTTTTCTCCTGCAACATGGTGGACTATGTTGTGTACCAAAACAGCCCAAAGAACACCATGTAACATGAACCGAGTATAACAATGCTTCCAATCTTCCTGTCATATTTGAAGTGGGCTGTGGCTGTGGCAACTCCATGCTGTTATGAGTCATGGGGCTCCAGCTTTATGGGCATCTCTCCCTGATCAGTTCAGCTCTTTGTTTTCCCTAAACTCCATAAAACCACTAGAATCAGTGCTGTTTGGCTTGGCGAACGCTCTCAAGCTTAGCATTACCTCTGTTCTTCAGTTTCCCTCCCAAGTTCCTATCTCCACTGGGCTCCATCCTTTTAAGATTTCTTGTTATTGTGGGCTGGGGTATGTGCACACCACAGAACAGGTGTGGAGGGCAGAGGTCAGCTTTATGGAGTTGGTTCTCGCCCAAAACTCAGCCCATCAAGCTTGCTTGAAAAGTCCCTTTACCCACTGAAGCCATCTTGCCTGTCCCGTATGCTCCATTCCTGCCCTATGTATCCTTCCTGCTGGGTAGGAAGGCTCAGGTGTGGTTGTGGTTTTCCATGTTGGAACACCAGCTTTATCTGAACTGTCTGATGGTGTCACTGCTCTCATCTTGCAGATCATGAAGCTATATGGCCCTGTGATGGGTCACACAATAGAGAAGAGACAAGGTAAGACTGGCGCTGACTTGAAGCCAAATGACATGTGCTTGGCTGACTGCATGTAGTAGTTAGCTGTGTAACTCAGGGTATGAATGTAATCTCCTTAATCTTCACCGTATTCATTCGTGTTATAGTACATTTCAGAGTATGGCTGTCCTGGAACTCACTTTGTAGACCACGTTGGCCTAGAACTCATAGAGATCCCTCTGCCTCTGCCTCCCGAGTGCTGGGATTAAAGGTGCATGCCATCACTGCCTGGCAAGTGTTGAGTATTTTATTAAGCACCTAATCATGAATAAATGGGAACTACTCTTATATTGTTACTTTATAATAACTGTTAACAATTCATTTGGATGATCATGTTCTTTTTTGGTTAGTTTTGTTCGTTTATTTTCAAGAAAGGGTTCTCTATGTAGTCCTGGCTAACCCGGTGTTTGCTAAGTAGACCAGCCTAGCCTTGAACTCACAGAGATCTACATGCTTCTGTCTCTCAAGTGCAGGATTAAAAATGTATACTATCAGGTCAATGCCCATGCTCTGTGAGTTAGAACACGGCAAGGCTGGAATTTAGGACTACGACTCTATTGCGCATGTTCTTTTCCTATACTACATTACTTTCCTTATCTTTCTTCAAAAGTACTCAAGAAAAACAGTAATTTACAAAGTCTTTCCCAAAACTATCTCTTTACTGTCTAAATAATCACAAATAAAAACAAGATGTGGTGGTGCACATCTTTACAAGTCTGGGTCATCTTATTTCGGTGACTGTTTCTGAGAGAGGGTCTCACTAAGGACATGGCCGTTCTGGAACTCACTACATAGTCCAGGGTGGCATTTGCCACCATTGCCCAGCCTCAAAGCCATCTTTGATAACACGGTGAGTCCAAGGCCAGTCTGTGCTACTTGAAAAAATAAAAAATAAAATCCATACTTGCTGGGCTCATGTGCAATGGAAAACAAATCTCAGTGCTTGATCTCATATGCTCCAAACTGGTCTATTATGCTCTCAAGAACCGGTCAGTTTGCTAGTTAAAGGCAGAATAAGGCCTGAGACTCACAAAGACAAATTTGAATCCTAGCTACTGCTTGATAAAAGAGCATGGATGGAGTGGTAGGGAAGAATGGGGACATGGAGGGATTGAGACAGGAGTTCACATAGCCTAGGAAAGCCTTGAGTTCATTCTTTTATAAAATAATAATTATTTATACAATATTCTGTCTGCGTGTATGCCTGCAGGCCAGAAGAGGGCACCAGACCTCATTACAGAACGTTGTGAGCCACCATGTGGTTGCTGGAAATTGAACTCAGGACCTTTGGAAGAGCAGACAATGCTCTTAACCGCTGAGCCATCTCTCCACCCAAGTTCATTCTTATATAGCTGAGGATGACCTGGAACTTCTGATTCTCTTGCCTCCAATCGCATGGGCTCTGGGATCACACATGTTGGCCACTGTTTCCATAAAGTCTCAGTTCTTGACACCCGTGCTCTCTGTGCTGGGTTTATCAATGTGACACACACCTGCTCCACCTGGGAAGAACTCCCAGTTAAAGAGCTCCCTGCATCAGGCTGGCCTGTGGCAAGACTGGATGTTTTCTTGATTACTGGTTGATGTGGGAGGGCCTGCCCACTGTGGTGGGTGCCACCTTTTGGCACTGGCCCTGAGTGGAATAAGAAAGCAAACTGAAGTAGATATGGTGGTACACACCTTTAATCTCAGCACTTAGGAGGCAGATGTAGGTGGATTTCTGTGAGTTGAAAGCCAGCCTGATCTACACAGCCAGAGCTCTGTAGAAAGACTCTGCCTTAAACAAAGAAAGAAAGAAAAAAAATCAAGCAAACAAGAAAGCAGGTTTGGGAAGCCATGGGCGTAGGTCAGCGCGCAGTCTTCCCTCATGTTGGCCGCCTGCCTGACTTCAGTTCATAGTAGACTGTGATCGGGATATGTAAGCCCAATAAGCCTTTTCCTCCCTGCACACTGCTTTGATCATGGGGCTTAGCACCGCAGTAGAAACTGAACTAGGACGACCTTAAACTACTGGCCTGTCAAATATAATGGCAGCAGCAGGATATGAGGGGGCAGGAGCCTGAGACACACACGTGCTGTGTCTCCACAAGCATGCTGCTCTTACAAACACGGGACTTTCCTGTTCTCCGCCAGGGAGAACAGTTAGTGACTCAATGAGTGAGACGACCCCATGCAGCCCCCTGCTTAATCCTGCACAGGGCATTGAAGTGAAAAGAAAACTATCAGCCCCAGGGTCCAAACTTCAGATTCAGGGGGGCATTTCTGCCACAGTTCTCTCACCAACTCTGAGTCCTGGGCTGCAGAAACGCCGACTGTTACCCTAACATCTGCAATTAGTTCAAGTATCTTGGTGTTTATGACCAGGCTCCTCTATATTTCTGCTTATGCAGGAAATTTCTCTCTTCATAAGGAAAAAAAAAGTAAAAAATTTCTTTTTCATGGATTATAAAACTCAGTTTTTTAGCTTTTGAGTAAAAAAGTAAAAATAAAGAAATAAACACATAAAATGGGGCAAGAATAAAACTTAATGTTGGACTGCCTCCCAAGTGTGTGCAAAGCACTAAATTGATCCTTAGCACAATCAGTCAATTTCTCAATCACTTGAAAGAAATATACAAAAGGATATTAATACGTAAGTGAATTCCCTCCCTCTGCCAATAACCAGGAAGGTGTGCATGTATTAACTGAGTTCAGACTATAATTACCTTGTTCTTTGGTTCTTCCCCAGCCACTTATAAAACACTCTGTGTTTTGGTCCAGTTTTTGGAAAACACCAAAAGGTAGGCAAATAGGCTGAATATAGCCATTATACCTCACAGCTTTCCTTAGACGGAACAGCGCGATATCATTTACGAAAGTTTCCAGAATGAAGTCTGGTCGGATGATGATTGCTACTACTTGAATATTCCTGATGTGGGAGCGGCGATGGGAGAGGTCATTGGTTCCAATCACTGCTCTCCACTTGAAAGGGTCGCTGAAAGAAAGCAGATGTTCTTAGTACAGACAGGCTCACTTCAACTCCCTTGATTTTCCACTAGATTTGGGCTTCTTTATATTGGTCTGATAACTAAGTTTTAAGTGTTTTTCACGTGACATAAGTATAAAACAAAAGCACAAATGTCACGATGCAGCCCAGGGAGAAAGCTGAGCGGGATCAGAACACAAGAACTCCGTGGCTGACCAGGACAGTGTCTCTTACTAGCAGACAGATGCCTGGATCACTCAACATACGGTTTTGAGACAGCAAGCTGTTTGGAAAGAAAACGAAATCCCTGAAACAGCACAAACCACCAAAGTAAACTCCAAGTGGATTAAAAACTTAGAACTCTATTAAATCAAGAGTTGCTGTCTTCAAGAGACAGGCAGGTGACAGAGCTGGGATTTGCCTTCAAATAACTGTACAGCAAGGTGAGGAGTTCAGTTCTGCAGAGTTGGGGCTCAGTACACATAAGGCACAGGTGGGAGGGGCACAAGAGGGCACAGGAGTGAATACATAATATACATGTATAAAAATGTCATCATTAAGCCGGGCAGTGGTGGCGCATGCCTTTAATCCCAGCACTCGGGAGGCAGAAGCAGGCGGATCTCCGTGAGTTCGAGGCCAGCCTGGTCTACAAGAGCTAGTTCCAGGACAGGCACCAAAAACTACAGAGAAACCCTGTCTCAAAAAAAAAAAAAAGTCATCATTAAGTTATGTATAACTGATACATGCCAATAAAAATCATTAAAAGGTAAGTTTAAAACTTGAACTGTGTGATAAGCACATGGAAAAAACACTTCCTCTGCTTTTATACTTTTTTAAAGATTTATTTTATTTTATGTGTTATGGGTGTTTTGCCTGTATATATGTTTGTGCATCACATATGTGCCCAATGCCCAAGAGTGCCAGAAGAAACTGGGCAGTGGCTGCGCATGCCTTCAATCCCAGCACTTGGGAGGCAGTGGCAAGCAGATCTCTGAGTTCAAGGCCAGCCTGGTATAGAGTGAGTTCCAGGACAGCCAGGGCTATTCAGGAAAACCCTGTTTCAAAAAAAAAAAGAAAAGAAAAGAAAAAAAAGGCCAAAAGAGGGAATCAGATTCCCTGAATGGGGAATTAGAGGTGGTTGTATAGTTGTTAGGGGCCAGGTGGGCACTAGGAATCAAACTCAAGTCCTCTGGAAGAACAGACAGTGCTTTTAACCACCAAGCCATTTCTTGAACCCCTAATTTTTAAAAATATACTAATACTAGAATAAAGCATTTGGATTTTATCATTAGAATTGAGAAAATTAAACCAAAAAAGAAAATAGGTGAACACACAGCACTGCCATAAGAAAGGTTTTGTTCTCTGAGACAGAGGTTCACCATGTTTATTAGTTGCCTATCTCACTGCTGGGATAAAACACTCCAATAAAAGCAGCATAGTGGGGCTGGAGAGATGGCTCAGAGGTTAAGAGCATTGCCTGCTCTTCCAAAGGTCCTGAGTTCAATTCCCAGCAACCACATGGTGGCTCACAACCATCTGTAATGGAGTCTTGTGCCCTCTTCTGGCCACCAGGCATACACACAGACAGAATATTGTATACATAATAAATAAAATAA